TTTTAATTTTTTTTTTTTTGGGTTTTTTTTTTTTTTTTTTTTTTTTTTTGTACTCTCTCTAATGTAGAGAAAGTACTAACTTCATGAAGAAGTTGACACTAAATTTTCTATCAAATGAAGCAATTTAAGATATTAGAACAAAATGCATCCAAACAAGCTACTAATTAATAGGATATACATTAAACACCCATCATGTGGGCCATATCCAATATTCTCATACTTGCTCATGTAATAAGTTTTCATTATTGTTTAATTGAAAAAAGGTCTGATAATAAATGCAACATAATATGAAAGTTTTTCTTCATATATATATGTATATATATATATCTTAGCATGAAAAATATCAAATATAAAACAATTTGGTGATAGTAAGTATTAGCTATTATCTCGATCGATAGTATTGATCAGATCACAATCTTCTGAGATTGGAGGCTTTTACCCTCTCATCTCTAAGAAGCCTTCTCATTATTTTTCCAGAGGGTGATTTTGGTATGGATTCCACAAAGTAAACTGCTCTAACTTTCTTGTAATTTGCCACATTTGAGGCCACAAATTTAATAATTTCTTCCTCAGTTTCTTCTGTATCAGGGCCCAGCACAACACATGCAGCTGGAATCTCCCCAGCCTCCTCATCTGGCATTCTGGAATACCATATTACACCATATCAATGTCATATATACATATATACACACACATATATATAATGGGCCTCATATCTAATTGTTTAAATGGAATAGAAAATTATAATCTTAATTGTTATAAGGGAAAAAAACTATTGATTTGTTACCCTAACTATAATGTTACACATTAACGTATATGAGGAAATGATAAGAACTATAACAGACTATAATAAACCTCATATATATGTCATATATATATATATAATATTTGTATCTATATACTAAATATTTATGTATCTAAAAAGGAACAAGTTTATTGTTCATGAAATAGACTCACGGAAAAACTGCAGCATCTTCAACTGAAGGATGAGTCAGAAGGATGGCTTCTACTTCAGCAGTACATTAATTAAAAAAAAAAAAAAAGGACACAGAAATTTTTGGCCAAATTTATTTTAGGAAAATAATAGCTTTGCTTAATCATTTTTCTTTAACATTGGTGTCCCAATGTCCATTAAATTAATATGCAAGTAAACAATATATCTATGTAATTGGAGGAAGCTATAAACTAAAGAGGATATAATATATAATGGAAAATAATCTTACTTGGAAACCTTTGTACTTGATCATTTCCTTGATGCGATCGACAATAAAAATATCTCCATCATCATCTATGTAGCCAATGTCACCGGTGTGGAGCCAATTTTCCTTGTCTATTGCTCTCTCAGTCTCCTCTTTGTTCTTGTAGTAACCTGAAAAGTTTCTCACAATATCTTAAGGAATATAAAAAGAGTAATAAAAAAAAAAAAACACCCTACAACTTTAGGCATTATTTAGTCTAATTAAGTACATAACTTTCACAAATGAATTCCTTCAAAGATCATTTTGTTAAGAACAAAGCTATGCGGCTTTAGAGAGCCCCGGGGCTCGCATCTAATACAAATGAGGCCACCCGGATTAGTTGCGAGCCTCGGGCTCTATGGAACCGCAAAGTTTTTATCGCTTTGTTAATATTTTGAATCTCTCCCCAGAATCATTCTTTCCTTTAGTCCTTCATACATAATCAAACAACTTCTCTCTCTCTCTCTCTCTCTCTCTCTCTCTCTCTCTCTCTCTCTCTCTCTCTCTCTCTCTCTCTCTCTCTCTCTCTCTCTCTCTCTCTCTCTCTCTCTCTCTCTCTCTCTCTCTCTCTCTCTCTCTCTCTCTCTCTCTCTCTCTCTCTCTCTCTCTCTCTCTCTCTCTCTCTCTCTCTCTCTCTCTCTCTCTCTCTCTCTCTCTCTCTCTCTCTCTCTCTCTCTCTCTCTCTCTCTCTCTCTCTCTCTCTCTCTCTCTCTCTCTCTCTCTCTCTCTCTCTCTCTCTCTCTCTCTCTCTCTCTCTCTCTCTCTCTCTCTCTCTCTCTCTCTCTCTCTCTCTCTCTCTATTTACCTTGCATTACACATTGGCTTCTGACACAGATTTCACCAGGAGTGTTCTTGGGAAGAGACAGACCAGTGTCGGGATCAATGAACTTGACTTCCAAATTTGGAAGAATGAATCCCACCGAGTTCTTCTTGGCTCTGCTGTAATTCTCCAGATCACCATGCGTCAGAGTTATGCAGCTATGCTCCGTCAGTCCATATGCCTAAATCATCACTCACATCCAATTAATTAATAAATTAGCAAGAAACTAACATATTATTAATTAGAAAAAGACAAAATTGCTGAGTCGTAATCATTAGAAGATGAGTTTGAAGTTATTAATTCTCAACTCAAATTACTGACTTCCACTAATCCCATGTAAATAAACCTTTTGTCTAAATTTTTTACTTGTTGAGTAATAACAAACTCAATCAGTCAAGATTAAACATAATGCCCTTGAACAAATTAACATATATATACACGAGGGCCTAAACACAAATCAATTTCTAGAATTTTAAACACAAATTAAGAACTTGGTTTGAATCGATGTTATGTTATTAAACTGGTTGTTCCAAAAATTTTAACTCGTGTTAGCTAGAACTTCAGCTATATATACAACAGAAAAAGAGTTCAAACAAATAATCAATGTATAATATCATATCAAATGTCCAACAGAGTTAACAATGAATATAACTTATCCGTCTCCAAACACAAAAATTATTGTGTGTTTGTAGAATTTAAACTCAAGTATCACTTACTCTAGTTATCCGATATCATTAAACTCGTTCCAAAAACTTGTTTTTAAAACAAGATAAAACGTATCGCTAGTAGTAACGAAATAATCTAGTGTACTAATTGTCACCTCTTGGACATGGATGGTAGGGAACTTGGCCTCAAAAGCCTGGAGGAGAGGAGGTGCAAGAGGGGCGGCGGCGCTCATAACCGCCTGGAGTTTGAGCCTGCTGAGATCAAACTCATCGACTATCGGATTATGGACCATGTCGGAGATAATCGGCGGCACAATCGGCGCAAAAGTGACCTCATGAGATATCAGCGCATGGATGTACGTCCGAACATCATACCTCCCCATCACCACCACCTTCCCCTTGTTCCTAAGCGTTGCAAAACATATCCCGGTAATGCCGTAGATGTGGAAGAAGGGCATCAGCCCCAGCACCGTGACTTCGCCCACCATCTCGGGCTTCACCGCGAAGAGCGTGGAGCAGAGGTTGGCCACAAGGTTTTTGTGGCTCAACATGACGCCCTTGGACACCCCTGTGGTGCCTGATGAGAAAGGAAGTGCACACAAATCTGTTTGAAGGACTTCCTCTTTGGCTGCCTTATTTGTCCCCGCTCGGTCTCCTGCTTCAAGCAGTTTGCGCCAGTTGATTGCACCTTCCACTGGCTCCTCATCCATTGTGATCACTGGTATTCCTAAGCCTTTTACCTGCTCAATTTCACAAAGCTTAGAGCTTGCTCCTAATGATCCGCTTATTTCGCATTTTTATCCCCCCAACTTTTCTAGTTTCGAAAGCCCTCTAAACTTTTAATTTTCTTATTTTATCCATTCAACTTGCTAAACCACTTAATTTTGCCATTTTGAATTGGGTTTGAGGGGTTGATTTAGACATTTAAGTGATTTATGTTAGGATTTGAATTGAACTTTGGAGATTTTTGGCCGTTGGCTTTTCTATTTGCTAACTTAAAGGTCGCAAGTGAAAAGGTTAATGGGATATGTTGCAATTATTTAGCAAGTTTATAAAAGTGTGAAAATAAAAGTTTTGAGGGATAATTGTTTAAAGCTGAAAAGTAATTTGGAGGGACAAATTTGCTAAAAACCTTATAAATTAAAATGTTTTTGCATTTACCTTCTCATAGTTTAGGGCATTTGTGACAATCAGCTTTGCATCAGCATCCTTAACCTGCTTTGCAATTTCAACAGCAAGGGCTTGTGGGTTTGAACCAGAAAACACTCCACCAGCAGACATTATCCCAAGAGCCACTATGGCATATTCAGCCACATTAGGGAGTACAACAATCACCACATGCCCTTTCCTTAGGCCAAGAGACCTTAAGGCCGCGCCAAACCTCCTTGTGTTCTTGGCAACCTCACCATGAGTCAATTCTTTCCCCGTCACGGCATCCACAATCGCCACTTTCTCTGCGTAGAGCTCGAAACCTCCGAGCACGAATTCTGGCAGTGTGACATCATCCGGCACTTGGACCGGCGGGTACCGGCTGTGAAAAATGTGCTCATCATCAATAATTTGTGATGGATTCAATGGACTAGTTTCCATGGCTTATGGTGCAAGGTTATGTTACGGGATTGATACTTATAAGGCGTTTTTTGAGATACTAATCATGCATTGTGGATGGGGCCTGAAGTGGTGGGGGTGTGTTAGCAAGAAATGAAACTAGTGTGTAATAAAAGTTGGTTGAATCATGGAAATTATTCTTTCTTTGGTTAGCTCCTTTGCCGCTTGACTTTAGGTGGTATGGGAGAAATATTTTAACCTTACGACATTCTAAGGAACATTAGATCATATTTCGGTGCCATGCATGTGATCATACTAATTGTAATGTTGCCATGCACGTGACTTGTGAGAGTACAATTTGACTTTGTCCAAGATGGATATGCCTATATACCATATACACATATTGCAGGTGAAGCGAGTACATCACTTCAAGTACAAGTTCTTTGACTGTTTACTAAAATTGATTCTGTTATGAGTTAAATCCATAATGAAGAGTCCTCAGCTTTTTTATTTCTCAAGAAATAGTCATGTGTGGAAAATTGTATAAGATGGTTGGAAAATATTTTTTGAGGTCTACTCTACTTGGATTGGAAATAAAGTATAGGGATATTTTGTTGAATGAAAAATGATCGTTAGTGTTATCTTATTCCTCATTTTTTATTATTTTTAAAGTTTTAGGGCCGCTAATGAAATAAAAAAGATCCGACTCAATTCTTTCAGTTTACCACACACTCATACAACAACCTACAAAATTAACTCATATTACCACACACTTAACAACATACAATAATACATTGATCGGATAAAAATCTCAAAGTGAGGTTGTTTTACCGCTACATCAACCCATTAGTGGTAAATGTACAAAACTGACTTTGAAAATGACTTCGCTTCCATTGACATAACGAAATATCTAGGGATGGCCCAATGTACTAGGAACCGAGGGAAAAAAGTGTGGAGAACAAAGGAAAAAACAATAGATGTGGGGACCACTAATAATGAATTCGTAATTAGAGAGAAAGAAGAGCGATTGGTACAATCTAATTATGTACCAATGTATACTGACGAGTGACGATCACATCAACATGAACACTACTACACAAGGTGCCAAAACACAGAAAGAAGGGTCTCAAATCAAGCTAGCAATATCATAATTAATTCTCCTGCGGGCTCTCTTTTTTGCAACATGAATAAAATGCCTTTAAAGGATAAGTACGGAAGAGATGTTTGATTTATAGATTAAAATAATAAAATTAAAATTATTTTTAATTTATATGTATTTTTTGTAAAAAAAAAAATATTATAGTGAATTATGAATCATGATTTAAATTAAGGTATGAATTCTCTTACTAAATGCCCCCTAAATACTCAACAAAAAAAAAAGAAGAAAAAACCAAGTACCAAACGCAATAATATTACTGCTTAATTAACCGTATTCCTAAGTAACTTTTAGTTTGGTAATATTATCCTTTCACTGACCAAGCAAGCCTTGCATGAAAACGAAATATCACCTTTTGTCTCTGTACCACTTAAATTTCTTCTTCTCTGTTACTGATAACTTGATTTAACTAAGTTTTCATTTTTAGTATTTTCGTTAGTTTTTGATGTTTTATAGTGTTTTTATTATGTTTTGATTTCATTTTGTAGGTTTTTAGTTTGAGGAAATAAATAGTTCAAATCAAGCTTTTTTAGAGACAAAAGAGCTACATTCAGCTGCAGTCAGAATCTTTGGCGAATTTCAGCTGCAGCCAGATATTTTCGACTACAGCCGGATTTGAGACAGAGAGCACTTGGAATTTTAGCTATAGCCAGATTTTTTCGGCTGCAGCTAGATTTGAGGCAATGAGTACTTAGAATTTCGGCTGCAGTGAGATTTTTTCGGCTACAGCTGATCGAGGTGAAATTAGCAAACCCGTTGCAGCAGGTTTAATTCGGCTACATCGAAAATTCAAGAAACCCTAAGCTTCCCTGATGGCGCTGCAGCGGGATTTTTCCCGCTGCAGCCAATTTTCGCGTGCTAATGTAAACTTAGGTCTCATTTTGCACTGATTTGGGAGGAGGTATAAAGAGAAAACGACCTAAGAACAAGAGAAAGAGGAAGGGACTTTGGGAGGCAGAAAAACATAACGAAAAGAGGGAAATATAAGGTTTTTAGAGATCATTCAAGAAGGTTGGATTGGAACTTGAAGATTGGGAGTTTGTTCTTCAACGAGTTTTATTTCTCTCGTCTCCTTTCTATTTTATCTTTTATAACTTGTATTTTCCTTGATATTGCTTAGACCATGGATATGAGATATGGTTTGATTATGGTTTTTGTTTCGAGATTCATCATGTATATCTCTAGCTAAACTCTTTAAGCTACAGGTTGGGATGTAGTTTTATCTTTTGTTATGCTTTGAAGATATTTGGTATTTGTTAATGAAATTCCATTTCAATTCATTTGTGTTTTTTTATTTTTATTGCTCTAATTTATGATATAATGAATTAGTGATATAGATGTGTGGATTTAGGCTCGAGAGAGTTACTTTCACATATTGAGATTTGTGAAACACAACTTAAAATTAGTTGAGTTCGGGAGGCCAATTGATTCGGGTAATCATAATAGGTTTGCTTAATGGGTGTTTATTAGGTTAAGTGAATAGAGATATTACTTAATCGACTTTACACACTATTTCGTTCAGCACTCAGGACAGGGAGTGAAATTACCTTAGAAAATCTAGATTAGTGAATTGACTGGAACTAGTTAACAAACCCACATGTTAGAATTGCATAGTTGTATAGAATAAAACCCAACCCCTAGCCGCTTTACCATTAGAGTTCCTTTCGATCCCTTGTTATTTCCAAATTCTATTTTTACTTGCTTTAGTATTTTAATTTATCATTTTAATTATATGAATTACTCTCATTCGATCGCGTAGATAAAGTTAAAGTTATTATAGTAATGATATTTAGTTTAATTTATAAAAATACTCAATCATTATGAGATGATACTTGATAAATTATCACTTTATTACTTGTTACGATTCGTATACTTAAGAGCTCATACTTATTGAAAAGAATTTTTGCAACAGTCACCTCTTCTTCTCTTCTTCTTCTAGTTTGAAGTTTTCTGACATTATTTAATATTCACTACTGCGTATAGAGTTATGACATGTGGCCAATTATTGTGGCCATATATATTGGAAGTTTTCTGACATTATTTAATATTCACTACTAGAGTTATTACATGTTGCCAATTATTGTGGCCATATATATTATTCTAAACAGTACTCTAGTTGGAAGTTTTCTGACATTATTTAATATTCACTACTACGTATAGAGTTATTATAGCTTCGTTCACTTCGCAGATTCAAATTTTAAATTTGAGTTAATATGTGATATTTTCTGATAGTTTTTTATTGTAACAGAAAAAATTAAATGTGATATTTTTTTAGAATTTTTAACTGTAAAAACTTAAAACTAAAAATTAAAATCGGTGAAATAAACGACGCATATATGTGGCCATATATATTATTCTAAACAGTACTTTATATACATGACACACATATTCATTGCTTTTTATGCAATAGACTTCTTGTTGTATGATGATATACGGAACAAATAAATACAACATCAGTATACGTGTAAAGTATCAGAAAAATCAGATGTTAAACTGGTACTTTCTGTAAATTAATAGCAAGTTGCAATTTATTTGCAGCTTTTTTAAGTGCTTAGAATATTATAAATTATTATTATTATTTTCTTTTTGACATTCTTCCTGATTAACACCTGACGATTAAGCTACTATCTGGTTAATGTATCGTTGACTTTTCAGACTTGACAAGTTGACCTGGCTAAAGGGGCAACTTACTTTTTTTTTTATTTTTTAAAGATAATGCTTTGCATTAAAACGCATTAAAATATAATCATGTTCGTGCATTTTGAGTTTCTTCCCTCAGAAATTACGCATTCAACGTTCTCCAATTGTGATTGTTAAAGGATATATGTTATATGGTGAGTTCATTTTGCTAGTTTAAATTATTTTTTTTTATAAAAATTTAAATTTAATTTTTTTTATTATTGTATTTTTTTAATATAAATTCATTTTTTAATTTAAATTCTCAACTCGAATAAGCGAAATGAATGAGAGTATAATATAATGACGTAGTGTCCTCATATTAGCTATTGGCTGGAGGAGCAGGTCATCAAATATTTTGTAAACACTCTCTGGAGTTAAGAGGAAGAATACATAGACAGGAGTTATAAAAAATGCAAGTGGCATCTTGGTGAAATATAATGAAATATTTTGGGCTAAAACATGTTGACTTTTATGCATTAAAACAATTGACAATATCTCATTGTAATCTTATTCGACAGCTATCAACATTGCCGTCTTCTTCCCCAACCGTTCCATTAGTGTTGCTTTGTTATTGTGTGAAACCCTTTTAATGGTGGCTGATTTGCAACAACATGACATCTATGGAGTCCTCGAACCTAGTCGTATTTACAACCGAGGACTTGAAATCTCTGACTGAGAGTTTTCATGAGAAGAACTTGATTGGAAATACTCAGTTTGGTAAATTATATAGGGGTTGGATTAAAGCAGAAGGTCGAGATGTGACCGTGAAGATATGGGATGAAAAGTCAAATTCCATCACCTTGATTTCTGATGAGTATTTGGTGGTCAAAGTAAGTTTTGCTCTCTTTTTTTTTCTTTTTTTTTTTCCCCTCCTTTTTTTTTAAACAAAAAAAAAATTACGAAAATTTGTAGTTTGTAACTGATCATCAATAGTTTGATTTGGGCAGGGAGAAGTGCAGTTTTTAACACATCCAGCCATGAATGGTCATCCCAACTTGGTCAAAGTGATTGGTGTTTGTTGTGACAAAGAAGTGAGGGGTGTAGTCTATGACCTAAATCCAAGGGACACTTTGCATAATTTGATTCTGAAAGGTAAAAATTTTCAAACAATGTTCTGAATTCATGATTAAATAATTCTTAATAAGTAGAGGATTGCCTTCAGGAAGAGGAAACTTGAGATAATTATTAACTTCCGCATTAAAGCTTGATTAGGAAGGCAGATGGATAATAATTATTTGTTTTAGAGAGTTATTCTATAAGTCCTTCCATGGTATGACATCTCAACTGATACTTCATATTACTAACCGATTGATCGCATCAAAATCATGTCAAAATGGAAAATATATATATTCTAAACTAATGAATTTTAAATATAATAGAATACTAATAATGTAATTTTTCGCGCCTTATAAAAAAGAATTCTCAGTATTCTTATTCAGTAGTTGTCAATAACTTTTCTTCATATGTAACAGATGAGCTCAATTGGATTCAAAGAGTTGACATAATCCTCCAACTCGCTTGCCTTCTTAAATATCTTCACACTCAAGACAATCCATATATGGTTCTTAACATTTGTGGAGCCCACATAATGTTGGACTGGGTCAGCCTGCTATCAATTCTTGAACTTGTTTTTCAGATTAATATTTTGTATTTTCCCTTGATCTCCAACATTTTCTGCTTGTAACTTTCAGGATTGCAACCCAAAATTGTGTGACTTTGGACTCATCAGTGGAGGTACCATTGGCAAAATCAATACTATAAAGAAGCAGATACCAATGCCAATAGACTATGCTGATCCTTTCTGTGCAACGAAAGGTACTTTCCCCCACTTTCTAAATATAGTAAGATGTGGACGAGGGCAAGGACTACTACTTATTACTTTATTCGTTTCACTCGTTCGAGTTAAGAACTTACATTAAAAAGGTAAATTTATGTGAGAGAAAATATTATAGTTAAAAGAGTTGAATGAATGTTTGTGAAAGAAAATATTGTAGTAAAAATTTGAGTTGTGATTCGAACTAACGAAACGAACGAACCTATATTACTGATATTGTGTTGTTTTTAAGTCGTCTCTTTACAACACATAATTGTATCAGAACTGAGCAAAAATGCAAATTTAACGGAACTTAAGACCAAAACTGCATAATACTAGTAGGCTTTCATTTGTACCCTACCAAAAAATTTTCCTAAGGAAAACTTAGCACCAAACTCGGTTTCGCATATGTCGCCAACTTTTATCTTTTTCATCTACTTGTTTCATTCACTTGACATTAATCGTCTAATCCACGTTCCAACAAATTTTGAGTTAGAGATTCGATTTTGGTGTCCTTGTTTCTGTAAGCATAACTACTTTCTAGGCTGATTTCACTAAACAGTTTCACTCTAATATCTAAAAGAAAAAAAGATAAATGAGACAAATACCTTAAAGTGCACGGATATAGATTTTTAACTTTTATTTTTGTTTAATATCTTTTATAGTCAAATAACTATATTAGTTAAAAATATATTAATTAAAAATAAGATGATGTGAGTTCAATATTTTTTTTTTTTTTTTTTAGAAAAAGTGCTTGTTTAGTTGTGAAGACTGATTTAAGGCACCATCTAGATGGCTATAGGGAAACCGGCTGCGATGTGTTCTCATTTGGTGTTGTTCTATTGGGCCTAATATCCAAGAGAGTATTCGACGCTGAGAAATTGGACAAGCCCGGGTATATACTGGACAATCTAGTACACTGTTGGGCCAAGAAGGAGTACAGGCCCAATTGTTCCCTTGTCCACAAAAGCCTTATAGAAGACTGGGGTTACAATCCTGAGGATGGGGCTACAATTACAGAGATTGGAATTCGCTGCACCGAATTCTTCCCAAGGAACCGTCCCACAATGAAGGGCGTCGTTGAGCATCTCCAAAGCTTGCTGGTTTTGCAACGACTTGGAGATACCAGACCCAACAAAAGGGAAAAGAAATTCCATGCAGATTATGAAAATGGCCACGTAAAACTATAACTAGAAATTATTTTATTCAGTGTAGCATGATTTAATGAATTGATAAGGACTAGCTGGTATTTGGTATGATGATTCGTGTCATAGTTCGTGGCTCGTTATAGTATTTTCTCTCACAAAAAATACATGTAAACCGATAATGATTTTGAATTTATAAACCAAACATCTACTAAATTATTCTTTCCTAATACGGACAAGTGATCGATTTAACTACCTTCAATGAGGATTTCCTCTTTTTTTTTTCCTAAAATTTTTTATTTGGAAAAGGAGGAATATGTGTTATATGGATCATTGTACATATGTGTGTGGTACTTCATATCTTATTTGAAGAAAAAAAAAACTAGCTGTTAAATTTTTATAACAAAAAATATAATTAATAGTAAAAATATATGAATTGTGATTGAATCTATAAAAACAAACGGAGCTTAGATTTAGAGGCCCTACATGGGAGTATAGCTTAGTTATTTTTAAAAAAATTTAAAATCTCAGTATTTGTTTTCTTACCTCAGCTTCACATTGGCCATTCCTTAATTGGCCTGTTTTGGGATTTAATGATGTTAATTTGTCATTGCTGATCTTTTTATTTATCGGAGTAGGCTTCTTTTCTTCGTTTTAGATTTATTTTTGTCTTTTCCTACCTCAACAATTTGTATGTTGAAGCTTGACGAAATTCTGTGTTCCAGCAAAATTGAGATAAATTTGTGAAATATATAAACTCTCATCTCACCTGGAAAATTCTGTTGTCTTCGAATATTCATGTTTTCTCCCTCGATTGTTTTACTCTTAACTGTTAGCTTTTCATTTATTGTCGCTTTTTTGTTTGAGTTTTGCATTGTTAACGCATATGTCGCTTTCCTTAACATTGTCGTTTTTGCTTATGTTGTCACTTTTGACTCAAACGAACCTGCCGTTTACCAAGTTGTTGTCGTTTTACCCTATATTGTCCTTTTTTTATATGACGTCGTTTTTCAAGCTGTTGTCGTTTTAAATGTACGTGTCGTTTTTCAAGTTTCTGCGTTTAGATTTACCTTACATTGCATTTTTTTCCCTCTATGTTATCGTTTTTCAAGTTGTTTTCACCATAAATTGTCGTTTTTCGGTTTGGCCTTTAAAAATCGTCGTTTTTCTTAATGTTGTCGTTTTCCATCCTATTATCGGTTTTTTTTTCTTTTTTCCCTTTTCTTACCAGAGACGGCTTTGCAGAAAATATTGTGGAGTTGCTTTACCTCGGCGCTGTTACTGAAACTTCTTATAGTGAGCATAAAGTCCTGATCAAATTTGGCCCAATAAAATTTTCTTCGATTCTATAACAATAGATAATATTCTTATAGAATCCGAATTCACAAATAGAAGATAGTTGACACCGGTCATGAGCCACTTTGAATTTTTTAAATGCTAAAACTCCAAAAAAATTATAAAATAAAAAATAAAAAATTTCAACCGATTTGTGTTTGAAAAAAGAATAAAACAATGTTTTGCCTTGTTCTTACCTTTAATCCTCTGCATTCCGGTCACATTTGCCTACTATAAGCAATTGTGATATTTTTTTTTTCCATATAACAAAACTACTAAGAGTATACTTTGTGCATAATTTTAAAACACAACTAATAGTGAATTTTATGACCGTGGATCAAAATGATTAAAAAAATGAAATCTCAAAGTAATGCATCAAAATTAAAAATTGAGACACCAAAAGATCACTATGCTCATAACTAATAGTGCTAAAAAAAAAATAATAATAATAATAATAATAAAAAAGGTGGAACGTTAGAGATTCAAAAAAGCAACCACACGGTTGGGAGAAGGCACACGTAAAAGAAGGGAATCCATGATGGTGATCATGATGAGCCATTATGCAATTTTATGCCCATCAAATACCCCAAACGACCAAACCTTGTCTTCCCTATGCAGATGAAATGATTACTCACCGCGTCTTCACACTCTTGGTTTTGACAAACCTAATCATTAAAATTAAAATCCCATTCCCTCTTACCTTAACTTTAACCTCTTTATGTAATCATGACTTTCAACCTTACCATATTCTCCACCTCTTTCTCTCAAAATTACTCTCTCTGCCACTCCTCACCTTTCTCTTTCTACTCATTAGAATTTTGAAGGTTAGTCTACACCCTACCGTACCCCACCCGGAACGACACAAGAGTATAAACTGATACATAAACAAGAAACTAATGAGTAGTGTTAAGCAACAAATACATATTTAGAGCAATGTTAAAACAAAACAAAAAATAAAAACCACCAACTAGTATATTTTGTACGTTTGGTCCTTTGGATAGTATACCTTGCCTGAGAATGTAATGTATTCTAACTTGTAAGTGTTTTTCTTTTTTGGTCATTGGAATCTTAAATAACTTTTTTTTTTCTTTCTTGGTGGTCAAAACTCCATTGAAATTAGGTAATATAGCACGCTCTCAAAACTGTTTTCAGAAATTTAGGCGCATAGTGAATGAGTTTGTTGGGTTGGGTCTTAAGTAGGAAAGCAATCAACATGGCGTGTAATAATGAAAGTTTATTCACAACCGTTTATTAGGTGAAAGAAAGTCCTAGACCAAAACATACTTCAGGTGCCTTGACCATCTAGATAGAGGCAACAACCTTTTTTTTTCAATACTTTTTTCTATGATATTCTACTCCTTACTGGTTTTTCAACTTACCATGGCAACAAAACTATAGACTATAGTGATTCAATTACCCAAATATATGTTATACAATATACATACATTTATATAAATATATGAGTGTAGTTTTAATGGTTATTTCAATACGAGAAAATGAGACAAGTACACGTATAATATACTAATATTTATTTAATATTGGAATTGAATGAACAAAACAATATAAAGAAAATATCCATTAAGAAAATATTCATCGATAAGTTCAATAATTTTCTCATTTAATATTTATCTATTGATGAGTGTTATTGTTTAATCGGGTAATATTGATATGATGATTTTAATAAATTTGATAATTGATTAAAAAAATAAATAACAATTAATGAGATTAGATTATTATTAAATTTTTATATTTGATGGAGAATTATTAATAAAAATATATAAATGTATTTATGTGTAGTGATTGAAAGTTAGTAGCCCTTTGATTTACTCTTTCCAATTTAAATGGAATATTTGGGATCGGAATTTCATTATTTCTATAGTTTGTAAAATAACTAGATGAGACTGCCCAATTCACGCCAACAAAGAATGTCCACCCACTCCATTACAAGCGCAAGTGCATATATAATTGGAATATTTACTCTTTCTTCATTATCATAACCGTATTTGTCACGTAACAAACGCCACCATTACTTGCCACTCATTTCAAGTATATATATATAGGTCTTTTTTTTTTTTTTTGGAGGATAAATATAGGTCATATTGAAGTCTTCTTTTTTTATTAAAGGAAAATAAATTACTTTTTTAGTCCAAATAACCTATTTCTACAACCATAAACATATCACATCAACTAAAAAACTAGTGATACTAAAGAATAGTTACTATCTATATAATACCTACAACATTTAATAAATTAAAAAGACGTTTAGATGATTTGTAAATGTAAATTCGTCAATTTTATATGTATTTTGTTCAGTTCAAAGTTGTAATCAACATTATAGTTTTCATTTTTTTCTAAGCAAAAAAAGATAAATAATAGATTTCCCTTAAAAGAAAGGCAATGATTTCAAATAATACAAACCAAACATTGGCGAAAATTACATAAAAGCTGAGCTGAACATCTGTCAATATTATTTGGTCAAAAAAATAAGCTATGATTATATCACTGAATTTAAAATACAAAAATAAAAAGTAAGAAATTAAAGAAAAAGTAAAAGGAGGAAAAAGGAACAAATGATAATAGCAAGTACTAATTGGAGGGGTAATTATGGCAATTGAGCAACAAAAACTAAAAAGCATTGAGTAGCTACTTCCGTAATTCTAACAAAATCATCATAAAATTAGAAAAAGAGGGTGGGACCGACAATCATGCCACTGGCGTGGAAGGAAGAAAGCAAGGAGACCGGAGAGATGCAATCTTGGCCGTTAATCCCCTAAAAGGGCTATGCTTTGCTGGTTCAAAAGTTATGTCCCTCTCGTCTTTGGTCTTCTTGACCATCATAGCCTCGCGTTCACACTTGGCACACGTGGAATTGGAATGGATTTACTCCTAAATATTCCTCTTTATATAATGTTACTGCTAACATTATAGTTTATCCATTTACCTTTATACCCATTGGCTCCAAATTAGTTAAATCCTTGCCCGTTTTAGTTTGGATCCCTTCTCTATTTTTTTTTTTTAAGGGAAATTACATTTCAAAACAAAGAAATACAACTGTTAATTCAGGGATAAACGACCCAAATACATCCACAGATATAAATTAAACGACCCTAAAATAGAAAGAGTCTTGACCCCAAACATCAACCGGATCTACCAGTAAATTCAAATAAAACACTCAAGGGACATAAATGTGCACCGAGTTCTGACACCGAAAAACTCAATAGGCACACTAAATATCTAGCATAAATAAAGTTCTTTCAACAAGACGACTACAGTTGATGGAAAAACTCAATCGACCGAGATCAAGAAACCTAAAGTACTAACTAAAGCACTAAGGCTACCAACAACACCGCATATAAACAAATCTAACGAACTAGACACACAACCCAAACGAAGTGTGGGGAGACCACATTCATTATTTCATAACAAGACGAAAAACACACAAATACATGGAAAATGGCGAAAGCAACATCGCCCTTATTTGAACAAAACAAAAACTAACTAAAAATGTATTTAACTGCACATAAGAAGATTCTAATGGTAAGATAGCTTTTGAATCCAACAGGAGAAGATATAGCCGCATTGTCGGAAAAGGAAAAGCTCTAGATGAACTTCCAAACCACTAACAAGAAGGAAGCAAACAACACCGAGACCCACCGAACCACGCGCCTCACCGGAAACACCAATATGCCGAGAGGACCAAAGCTTCCAAGATACTAGCCCAACTGGGTTCCGACTAGGGCCGGCAATATGGGTCACGACACGACGACACGATTCGAAAACGACACGAATTTTGCGGGTTAAAGTTGAGAAAAAAGGGGTTCGGGTCAGAATTGGGTCAACCTGAAATTGACATGAAAAATATGGGTAAATTTTGGGTTGGACCCGCCTAACCCAAACATGACACGAAACTCGTAAAAAACTAAAAAATACATATATTTTTCATTTCATATTTTAAATTGTATTATGAACTTGTGACATCATGATAGTTATACTCAAAATCTTATACTATTATTTGCTTAATTTCAATGGATGTTATTGTAATTTAGTGTGTTATGAATTTTCAGTTATTTCTAATATGTAAAAAACTAAATAAAAGTATACAATTTTCGTGTCAATTTCGGGTTCACGGGTCAATTTCGTGTCACGAGTCATTTCGGGTCGTGTCGTGTCAGCTCGTAAAGTGGTCGTGTCGTGTTCGTGTTGCGGTTTTTAAAAAATTTCGTGTCACGGGTCGTGTTCGGGTTGACTGGAAATTTTTAAAAAATGATCAAAACACGACACGAACACGACACGTGACATGAATTGCCACCCCTAGTTCCGACGATCCCTCAAATAGCAGCTGAAAGTGCGACCTCCACCCCTTCTAACTGCACAGAGACCTAACTCCAAAACAAACACAGATTCTCCCTCAAAACCTATCTCCATCTGATCCTCTACAGGCCCAAAACCCACCTACTAGGGCCGGGAATGCGGCGACCCACCTAAAGGTGACGCCGGACTCTGGTCCTCCCAAACGAAAGAGAAGTGGGGCTCAAAAAAGAGACGAAACCCTAAGGGAGGGAAAAAGTCGAGAGAGGATAAGAGAGAGTGATTGCTTCTCTATTATTGGAGCATAAATTCATCACCATCATGTCGATTATTATTAAAAACCATGTAAACTATTCAATTTGAAACTTTTTCTCCTGAAATATTGCGAATGTAAAGCTAACAGCCACAAAGACAGTCTTCCCATTTTTCACTAATAGAGAATGTTTACTAATTTTTTAATACCAAATTAAGTGGTAAACTATAATCTTGAGAACTAATATTTTAATCCCTATTTAATTCATGCATAAAATATTTATCAATAGAACAAATAACTCATTTACCGCATCAAATAATATTAAAAAAATTAAGATAGAATTTGGACGCTTAACATTATTATTATTATTACTATTCCTATTATTATTATTATTTTGCTTTAAGGACGTCTAACATTATTTCTCACTAATAATCCAGTTTTAAGTCTTAAACTCGGGCTATCGCTTGTGATTGACCACTAGGGAAAATAAGGGTTAGGGACAGGGGTTTAATCGGTAAATTCAGTGATCCTGTAACTATTGTCCTGAAAAGAAGCAAAGTCTAATTATGAGTTAATGGCAAGGATATTGGTCACGTCACGTGGGAGCAAAAAGAAAAAAAAAAAGAAAAAAAAAAGTGGATTATCAACGAGGGATTGGCGTGGACGGATGGGGGATTGGCATTTTCCTTACTTCCTTTCTTTTTGATTTAGGGGTAAATTGCTCTTTATTCCCTCAACTATGTTATCTTCGACACTCTCTCCCCATAAACAATTTCTTGACACATCACTCTCAAAATGTTCTATTTTGCAATATGAACCATTTCTAACTTTTGTTAACTTTTTTGGGGGGTTTATTTCGTAATCAACCACTGGGTTTCTCACTAATGACAAGGTCAAAATGGAAATTTTATTAATTTTTTAAAATGTTTTCTTGTCTTACCATTACAATTGGGCCAAAATGTTGTGATTGACCCATAAATTAGCCATGTTTCCATGATATATGATTGAATAGATTTATCATGAATGTATCGTGTTTTTTTGTATCATGTACAATTAAACAGATGAACAATATTAGGAGGTGTCGATGGTGTTTAAAAACACATACTAATAGAGAGCTGAGCTCGTTTGGTTCATGGATTAGAATCATGAGATTAGAATTATTTTTGATTTACGTGTAATTTTTATGAGAGAAAATACTGTAACGAATCATGAACCATGATTCGAATCAGATAACGAATTCTCCAACAAAACGGGCAACATGAAATCCATAAACAAAGTCTGCTCTCAATTGGCTGTAGTGCTCAATACGAATGTCTACATGGCACATTTTCTTAAAAAGAGAAATTTACATAATTTAGCTTGCTGTTGATATTGCAAAAGAATGAAAAGTAAAAGGGGATAACGTGCAAAAAAAATATTTTAGGAGAGGGAAAGTGACAGGGGCACTGTAATTGAGGGGCTAAAGTGAAATTTTCTCTCTCTTTTTGAGAAACGATGAAAGAAGGAAAATGATAATAATAAGTTAGTAAAAATGAGTTGGGGTTAAAGAAGTAAATGAAAGTAAAACATGACATATTGATATGATGATGTATGATATATAGGCGGAGGAAGAGGAGGAGGAGGAGGAAAGGGGAAAGGGAGGGGGGATTGGGGGAGTTCTTCTGGTGCCGGTGCTGGTGTGGGGGACATGGAAGGGCTGCCCATGCTGAGGCAGCTCATCTCTCAGCTTCACGACTTCTTCCAACTTTACGATTACTCTTCTCTGCATCTTCATCACCATCATCTTCTTCACCACCACCAACTCAACAACAACAACAACAACAACAGGTTTTTCCTTTCTCTCTCTCTTTCAAGATCTCTCCTTTTCTTTCTCTTCATTGCTTGTTTCGGATTTTCGCTTTGCTTCTTATGTTTCTTAAACCCGCGTTCCTTTCCTCTTCTTATTCTTCTCGATTTCTTGATTTGGGGATTGTTGTTATTAGGTTTGTTTTTTCTTTTTCGCCTAATTTTATTTCTCTGATGTCTCTTTGGTGGAAGTTAATTTCACTCATTTGGTTGGAAATCGCGATTAATTTTGATTAACATGCTTTGTTTTTAACTCTTTTCTCTCTTTGAGCCGTTTCAGCTAGTGGTTTTTTTTTTTCATTCTTAATTTGCGTCTTTAAGTGGTATCTTTACCTATATTTGTTCTTCCTTTTTCTTAAATTTATGCTCTTCGATGCAGAATTGATGAGCTTGCTCAATTTATTTTTCTTTTTGCGTAACTGCTCAAAAATGCGCTCCGAACTAGCTCACTGTTGTTTCCAGTAACATGAGACCCGGAGTTTGGCTTAGAAAGGAAAGCAATTAAAGATAGAGATCTAAAAATAAACAACTTGAATACGTCAATTATGCTAGGTTGATTGGTAAAAGAGAAAGATTGCAATCTTTTCTGAGTTATGATATTCTATTTGGGGTTTCTGTAATTCTATGAGTAAACAGCTTCATTTGTCCTATCCTTTGTTCTCTCCTGAGACATGGGAATGGTTGCTTAAACTTGCAGTTTTGTTTGTTTCACCAATTTGTAACTTAGGAGAGAAAATTCCACTGGGTGTCAGACAATAATAACCTGGTTTGCATTATAGGTTGTGGCTATATGTAGTAGTAGCCCTTAGGGACCTGGGAATGAGCTTGTAAGCTTTATATCGTAGCAGCTTGTTGTTTTATTTCATTCCAATTCAACATATTGAAATATGATCTGAAGCTGAGTTATTTTGAAATATATGTTAGCCGTAATTTTAAAGTATATCACATGGGTGATGTGTAAAACTCGGAGGCCCTGTTTGGTAAGGGGGGAAATGTGGAAGGAAAGATAGGAGTGGGAGGACTAGTGGATGGATTTTAAGACTTATGGTTGTTTGGTGGGAGTGATTAGAGGGGGGATTTGATTAGGTGTGGGATTCAAATCCTTCCAACTTTAAACGGATTAGAGGAGGGAATTTGTACCAAACATAAGAGCATAGTCATCCCTTTCCTTTCAATTTTCCTCACTAGGTTATATACATTACCCTTTTTCCTTCATATTCTCATTCACTCTCGTCAAACACAGCCAAAGATCTTGGCTTTAAATATCTGTCAATGTGTTATTTGGTTGAAAATTGTGGCTGGCTAAATTTTGAATTTATGCCAATAAAGTGTGATCCAAAGTGTTAGATCTTTGTCACTGAATCCAAAAAATAAAAATTCAGGAATGTTACTCTGAATATTCTTGATAGATTCGATGACCTTTGCAATAGGCTAGCACTATTTTGGTGCGAAATGTGCAGCTATTTAAACTGTGATTGATATGAACGGATCTTACGATATCATAGAATTGCAAGTATTTCTAGTAACGGCGAGATAATAGCCAAGTAGACTTGAGATGAGATTTTGACAAAAGATATAGGAAGAGAGTCAAGAAAAACATGTTTAAGTCAGTGGCCTACTTGGAATTTGGATTTTGATATGCTTAAAGTGAATGGTTAATGGTCCATAATGTGTTACAATCTGGTGCTGCATTCAGTTCATTCTTATTGACTATTTTTTATAATAAATAAGAGCCTTTATTGATAAAATTGAATCAATACTTGTTTTTATTGACTTTTGCATGCATGCGAATATTTTGTAAAATCCCAAGTTTACCCTGATCCTGGCCTATTTTTTAGGAACTGCTGCAGCAAATATCCTCGGTAAGATGTATGTTTATTTATTTATATACGCCTCTCTTTTGTGCAGATGCTTCCTCAATGCTGATGACAGCTCTGTAGATGATTATTATAGTTTCGTAATGGCTGCTGAAAGATCAGGAGGCTTCAAGTTAGTGGAATCTAACAAGCCTCCACCTTCTAAGAAATCTCGCAAGGAGAAGATTCGGGGTAAATCATCGGGAATGACCGGCACCACTGAGGTGATGGAACAAGAAATTTGGAAAGATTTCCCTGAAGACCTTTTTGAAGCAGTTATTGCAAGACTTCCAATTGCCACTTTTTTTCGTTTTCGATCTGTTTGTCGGAAATGGAATTCTGTACTTAGCTCTGAAAGTTTCTCTCAGCAATGTGCCCAGGTTGAACGAGCCAATCCCTGGTTTTACACCATCACTCATGAAAACGTGACTTCCGGGGCCATCTACGACCCTTCCCTAAAGAAATGGCACCATCCTACCATTTCGACTCTGCCAACAAAGATGATCCTTTTGCCAGTGGCTTCAGCAGGGGGCCTAGTATGTTTTCATGATATCGGGCATAGGAACTTCTATGTGTGCAATCCCCTGACTCAATCTTTCAAAGAGTTGCCGGCAAGGTCAGTTAAAGTCTGGTCTCGTATTGCTGTTGGGATGACGCTAAACAGAAATTCAAGCAGTAGCAGCGGTTACAAGATCCTTTGGGTGGGATGTAACGGCGAATATGAAGTTTACGACTCAATCAACAACTCTTGGAGCCGTCCAGGAAATATGCCCTCGAGTATTAAGCTGCCGCTATGTCTGAACTTTCGGTCACAAGCAGTTGTCGTTGACGGCACCCTTTACTTCATGCGATCAGACCCTGAAGGAGTTGTGTCGTATGATATGGTCATGGGGGCTTGGAAGCAGTACATAATTCCAGCCCCGCAGCATTTGACCGACCACACACTAGCGGAGTTTGGAGGCCGGATCTTGCTTGTCGGGCTGCTGACGAAGAATGCTGCCACGTGCGTGTGCATATGGGAGCTACAGAAGATGACGCTCTTATGGAAGGAGGTTGACAGAATGCCAAACATATGGTGCTTGGAATTTTACGGAAAGCACGTTAAGATGAATTGCTTGGGTAACAAAGGCTTGCTCATGCTGTCCTTGAGATCGAGACAGATGAATCGGTTGGTTACGTACAATGTGTCGAGCAGGGAATGGCTGAAGGTTCCTGGGTGTGTCGTGCCACGCGGGAGGAAACGACAATGGATTGCGTGCGGCACTGCATTTCACCCGTGCTTGACTGCTGTGGCTTGATTGATTAAGCTGTTCTGTGTTTTTTGCTGCTGAATTTTGGGGATGGTATGCTCACTACCATTCCACAAAGGTTGGCTGAAAGCTTTCGCACTAGCTTATTTCAGCCTCTGATTTTCTTATTGCTTTATTGAAGTAAACAATACCAAGGGATATCCCTCGTTTATGTAGAAACTTGATAAAGTCACGTTGCTTGAAAGACTCTATTACATTTCCTACTTTTTAAGGTCAGCTGTATGCAAATGAATCTTCATATTGTTAGATATGCTCTTCAACATCTGTTTTCCGAACTTGCTTAAACAATTCAGTAGTTACGTATGACTTTTTGTTAGACCGCAAGCTATTTGTATCATATCACCGACAGTTTACCCTTTTTCCGAATTACTAATCAAAGAAATTTTTCGAAAATTTTTGATAGATGAGGATTATTTTTAGGGAATCTAGTCCTTTAATTATTCCATGTTCTCTCAAAAACAAATGTTGAATTATAGTATTTAATGGTCCTCTAGTGTGGGCACATTCCGCTAAATTTTTGTTTTCATCAAATCTCGTGACTTTAGAGGAAAAGGACAAGCTCATGGTGGAAAAGCTTGCGTGAGTAGACTAAAATGTTATAACTTATCAAATGCGAGTTCATACGCTTGTCCAAGTTCCTTGTAGATCTTTCAATCCTCCTTTGCCATAACAATTAACGGCTGATGTGAAGGTGCTGGGTCCCTAATAAAAGGGATTGAAAATGGCTAGACAAAGTGAGAAAGGAACGATGCTTTTGTCAAAAACTAAACAAAGGGGATAAAAAACGAGAAGGAAAAGTGCCCTGCAAATGGATAGGGGAGCCATCGCATTCACGTATTGTATACAAAGCTGATCCCATTTCTGTCATTTTAGCCCCTAATCTGTTTTTTTTTTTGGGTCCTTTTTCCCGTTGAATTTTCTTTTAAATATTCATTTTGGTCTTTTAAGAATATTTTTCCCTTTTTTTTTTTTTGGGCATGGAGAGTAGAGTTTTTAAAATTTAGGTAGCATGGTTACCAGAGAGTTGGTTATTTAGCCGTCTTTCACATATTGTCGTTTTGTTAATACATGTCGTTTCTACTTTGACACTTGATGTAGTTTTCTTGAAGGAATCGTCGTTTTTGCACATCCAACGTGAGGTAAAATAGTCCGGTAATCATGTGTAGCTTACTTCTAACCCTCATAACGAGATTCATAACGTTGTAATGAATCAATCTACCAAGTCTTAAACGACAAAAAAAGATGCAGAATTAAGAGAAGGAAGAGGGGTCTGTTTATTTAAAACATTCGGGTTCTTCACAACATTAGCAACCCACTGGTCTCATAATAATGTATATTGATTTCTGGAGCTTACTTCTAATACCATAACGAGATTGATATCGTTGTAATGAATCAATCTACCAAGTCTTAAACGACAAAAAAGATGCAGAATTAAGAGAAGTAAGCGGGGTCTGTTTATTTAAAACATTCGAGTTCTTCATAACATTAGCTACCCACTGGTCTCAATAATAATGTATATTGATTTCCTACCGTCTAGATTTTTTTTTTTTTAAAAAGAAAAGGCAAACGACGACCAAACATCACTCTAGAAAACAGATTACAATTACGCCATGCCTCCGCTTGTAGCTGTCCTGATTATTTGAAACAGAGCTGTTACATAAGAGAGGAGAATCAGCAACTTTATCAAGCACCACAGCGAAAATACACACAATAATCCATAATGGGTAACGTTCTCTTTGATCAATCAAATAGATATTAGATTTCTAAATTCTCATACTGATGCTAAAATTTAGTATTTAGATTAAACTAAACACTCTTTCCAATACCATACTATATCTAATATTAAATTTTCCATAATGCTGAGCTTATGCTAAATTCAACACTAAGTACAGAGCCTATATTAAAATTTAGCATTTGATTGCTTATTAACTCATTGTGTTAATTTTTCAACATTATCGCTAACTAATTTTTTGAAGAATGGAATTTCTTTTTTTACAAATCCCAATGATTAGAAAGTTTTAATTTTTTTTCATATGTTGTCAACAAAAGTTTAAAACTTTATTCGGAAAAGTTAAAACATAACAATTAAAATAGATAGATGTTGAAAAAAAAAAATCGGGTCTTACAAGATCCAATGACGACAAATATGAAGAAACCAAGGATAAGAGGGCCAACAGGGTAGTCCTTTCCCTTCTTGGTGGAAGTCTCAGCCACAGCTCCTCTTTTAGTTATGTTCTTCTCAAACCTCTCCACCTTCCTGTCTGCAAGTCTCCTTGATGTTGTCTGCATTTCACAGCACAACTTCATCAAATTAAAGTCCAAAAAATAAAAAATACTAGTTTTTCAAAAAAAAAAAAAAAGGAAAAAAACACAGAACTTTGACAATTAAAAGATCTAAAATTGGAAAAACACCAAGAGTTTATGAGATCTAGAGAAATAACGTTTTAGATTATGTTATATGACACAATTAAGACTGATCTACAATTACATGCAGCTATAATCTCTTGAAATTAACAAAAAAAAAATTGAATCGCAAGAAAAAAAGTTTATAATGGTCGAGATCATAATTTGAAAAAGTAATTAAAAGAAGGGCCAAATCAATCTAATCGTTCAAAGCTACAACAAATTTTATCAGAGATCTGAGGGTTTATGGCATTAGCAAAATAAACGAGATTAGGAAACTAATCAGAGATCCGAAAGGTGAAAAACCTACCATTGTTGCGCAAAGATCCGGAACGTCGTACGGTCGGAGAACAAAGAGCGTCGCAGGCGATTCCTCCTCCTCGTCTTCCTGTCCGCTTCTTTACTTTCAGGCGAGTTGAATGTCTCGCCCTTGTTTCTCTCTCTCTCTCTCTCTCTCTGCTAAAATCTAACTCAGAAAGATGTCGTTGTCGTATTTATATATAGGAGAAGAGGCAACAGAATGATAAGATTACTGGCTGTCATCACAGCCTTCGAGTCCCATCCCTCCTACCACGTAGTTGTGGTATACGCGTCATTCAAGTATTGGTTATTTTTCTGCACGTTGGCTTAGCTGGCGTGACAACTGCACCTACGTGGATCTGGATAACGCATTGATACTTTCAATTCTCACGAACGTGTAAGCCACGACCCACGAGCTTATTATCCGATTTCTCATCTTAAAAAAAAAAAAAAAAAAAAACTATTGTCATAATACATGAGTTTTTTAGGGTCAGTATGTAGATACTCATAATTATAAATCACACAGTTAAAAAAATAATCTAAAACAATAATTTTTGTCAGTAGAAAAACAATACAGTTTCTATCTCATTCCATCGTTATAATAAGTTACTTATTAGACTACCGGTTTTAAATATATACTGTAAACCTACGCCGTTAATATTAAGAGTTCGTTTGGTTGATGCATTAAAATCATTTTCGATTTAAGTGTATTTTTTATAAGAAAAAATACTGTAACGAATTATGAATTATGATTCAAATTAGAGAACGAATCCTCCAATTAAACAGGCTCAGGCTAATGATTAGAGTTTGAATGCTTCACCAGCTAAAAAAATATTGTTGTAATATTTATCATTGATATATCATCCGAATATAACGTTAAGTTTTGTGATGCAAAATTACAACACAATAAGTGGGATTAACTATCATTTTTATATTTCACACTTCTAACAAATGGCATTACAAAATTGGGGTAAAACAATTTTTTATTGTTTCATTGGGAAATTAAAAAAAAATGGATTTTCTGCGTAGACGGCAATTCTCTCTTATTCATAATACTGGGATTAGCTAGGATGCATGTGGGTTATGTTGTGTTCACGCGTATAGCGTGGACCGTGGCGGGCACAATAAAACGCGCCGTTTCTTTATGTTTAAAAAAAGGGGAAAAAATTCAAGAAGAAATCTTTGGGCTTGTTCCTGTGCATTTTGTGAATTAAGGTGATTTGAGTTTAAATCTTAATTTAAGTTAAGTGTATTTGAGTATAGTTTGAGTCTAGACTCTAATTTGAGTTTGTGTTTGGATGTGCACATTTTGAGATGGTTTGAATTGAGAATCTATTTGAGTTTGTGTTTAGATGTGTCAAAACTTGAATTTGTATTTGAATGGTATTTTAATAAAAACTCAATGGTAATAGAAAATTTTAATAGGATATATGGGTAGTATTTTATTCAACTCTTCATTGTGAACACAGCAAAAAAAATCATCTTAATCGAAATTAAAATGAAAAAGTTATGACGTTTTTAATAATAGAATAAATTTTTTTTAATAACTTGAGTTTGAGTTTAGGACTTGTTTATTTGTACCTAAACTCAAAAAAATTTAAATTCAAGTTACAACTTTATTCAAGTTCATGTTCTTTTGTAAAATTTGTATTTGAACTTGAGTTTTAACTTGAATTTAGGACTAAAATTTGAGTTCAAATTCCCCCTTTAACTCAAGTTTCTAAACTTAAACTCAAGCTAATGAACAATATTTTTTCTATTCTTAAAAACGTCATAACTTTTTCATGTTAATTCCGATTGAGATGATTTTTTTCTATGCGTTCACAATGAAATGACGAATAAAACTCCACTCATATACCCTATTAAAATTTTTCATCACCATTGAGTTTTTATAAATATTATCCAAATATAAATTCAACTTTTGACACACCCGAACACAAACTCAAATAAATTCTCAATTCAAACCATAACTCAAAATGTGCACATCTAAACAAAAACTCAAATTAGAGTCTTAACTCAAAAAATACAAATGTAGGAACTTAAGTTGAAAGAAGAACTTGAATTCAAATTTTAGCCTCAAACTCAAGTTCAAACTCAAATTTTACAAAAGAACATGAACTTAAATAAAATTATAACTTGAGTTTAAATTTTTTTAAAATTTTAGATACAAATGAACAAGCCCAAGATCCGTTATTTTCGCAACTCAAATTACAACTCAAACTCTTTTATTACAATATTTTCTCTAATAAAAATTTAAATTCAATTTTTTTTTTGTTACAAAAAGAAGTTTGAGTTTGAGTCATGAAAGAACCCACCCTAAAAAAGCTCCAAAATGTATACACGGCAAATTACGAATCAAATATGCAAAGGACGAAGAAGTAAACGACAAAAAATGTTGACAAGAGTAACTGGGTATGAAACAATGAGACTCAGAATTTCAGCAGTTAAGATGACAATGAATAATACTAATTAATGAACATGATCGAAGTATAAACCAAGATCATATCGATATCTACACTATTTTTATCTCTAATTAGAACTAACTAACAACGGTACAATTTCTAGAACCAGACTTAAAAGAACATATAAGGATTTCAAAAACAGTCAGGTGGAACCTAGAAATTGAGCAAAGCACTATATTTATATGAGAAAAAACCGGTGGTGGCAAGATTGTATGAATGAAAAGCCTTGACCTTACACATCCTTGGAACAAAGAAAGACCTTTTTAACCTCCAGAACTGTGCTATCTTCAAGTTGCAGATAACATATGGTTAGGATTATTAGTAGATCTTTTCCACATTACTTATTTGAACTTATAACTGCAGAGTCCCAAAAACATGGAGGCTTTGGATGCTGAAAAATGATTCGAGTCACTTTTGGATAAATTTCAGACCAGGTCAACAGTTGTATCAAAGTAGTTCACATGATCTAGAAACTCAACCAACTTGGTTATTTTCAACGAGCGTGTCTTTATTCGATTCCTCGGTGTTTTCTGCGATTATTACTACCTTCAAATCCTCGGCGCATTGCTTCTCTTCTTTGCTAACTGCATTGGAATTCTCTGCCAACTCTTGGTCAATAGATTTTTCAACATTATCTTCCTTAACCTTTTCATCAATCTCCATAATCTCTTCTTCTTTAACATCTGCTATTACTTGAAGAAGTTCCACAGGAGTGGCTGCTGGATCCAGCTCATGGCAACCCTTTGGAGTATTCGGAGCTTCTTGACCTGTGAGCAGGTAAGAAGGGACGTGATGTGAGAACCGAAACATTTCTTCTCTCTGAATCCTTTTGACCTCTCTAGGATCCAAATGTCGGTGAAAAACTGTCTTGAAACCAGCAACTTTGACAAGGGGGGTAACGGTTACCCCTAGTTCCTCAGTATAGTCTTCAAGCACCTCCACCATGTCGTACTTGTGTATTACTTCGTCCGCAGTTAACTCATTCCATTCAGGCGACCAATTTCTATAAAGAGCCCAAACTTCCCCCTTCCTCGGATATATACAAATAGCCCCTCGCAACCCTTTTGACCACCTAACCTTGTGAGAAAAGGAATTGAGCGAGCTATTGATTTTGTATCTGCCTACACGAAAATCTCCACATGTTTTTGCGAAACCGGAAGCTACCCAGTTCAGCGGACCCAATTCACTGTTAGTTTTTGAGTTGAGCCAACTGATCCGCATTTTGAACGGACTTGAAGAAATGACACTATGAATCAAGGCATAATATCGAGGCATCCCATCATCGTCATCGTATGCAGCCCACACCTGATTATCTCCAAAAGACCTTTCAGTTCGATCCTTGTCGAAATCATGAAAGTCTGGATCTGGAACATTTATCAACATTGTTTCCACAGTTTCCGCCTCTAAGTTGGAACCAGACACGCCAGAAAGTTTCCTGGGACAATCACCAAGATCTACATCCATTGGCTCACCACAGTTGCTTTGATCATCCCTAGTATCATTGATTCTCGAAGACTTTTCTTCTCCCTCATTTTCTTTCCCATACCAATTCCCCTCCTCGTTAGTTGCAGGTTTGGTTACAACAGCTGAGCTCCATTCATTCAGTTTCTTGCGAATTTCCTTTTTAGCCTTCTCCATTAATGCCTTTTGAAATTCAAGCTGGGAAATATCCCTTGTGATACTGCCCCTACCAGTTTCGGCATTAACATGCTGAGACGTGAAAGAGTTAGGCCCTCCAGCTTTCCCACTCATCTGATGGCTGCCTGTACTGACATCATCTATACCTTTTCTTTTCTTTGCAGCATTAGCTTGCCCTGTAGACGAACTGCCGCTCGTCTTCTTAGAGGACTGATTCTTCTTTCGCACAGCCTCCTCTCTTTTTGTTGCTGCCTGCGCCTCTTCACGTTCTCTCTTGACTTTCTCATAGGCCTGCTGTACCACAGTTGCAGCTTGAGCAGCACTTGAAGAACCTGTTCTTGAGAAAGGACCCCACTGGACGTTGTCTTGGTTATGTGTATCAGTACTGCTGACCCCTCCAGTTCCTGCATTTGAAGAGCCAGTACTGCCCCTTCCTGAATGGAATGAGTTTCTATTAGTCTTTTGGTTGTTCGAATTGTGTCGATGTTGTGAGACGTTCCACGGGGCTGCAGGCTTAGGACCATTTGAAGGAGGTGGAGCTGTTTCTACAGCAAAAAACGGTTCATGGCAATTAAGGCATAGGAGATTATGATTGAGATAAACTCTGAGATACTCGTATTGCATCTTGCACCGATAACACACCGTCCAAAAGGTATTGGGTTTCGGCTTATGAGTCGGAGCAGGAGTTGAGGAGTGACCTGCTCGAGGGGTAGTACTTTTTGGAGGCTTTGTGCTAGATTTTGTACTTTTTGTGGAAGTATGACCGTTCATCCCCGGTGTTGGTGTTGGTGTTGGTTTTGCCGATGGTGTTGGTGTTGGTTTTGCCGATGGTGTTGGTGTTGGTGTTGGTTTTGCCGATGGTGTTGGTGTTGGTTTTGCCGATGGTGTTGGTGTTGGTGTTGGTTTTGCTGATGGTGTTGGTGTTGGTGTTGGTTTTGCTGATGGTGTTGGTGTTGGTGTTGCCGATGGTGTTGGTTTTGCCGATGGTGTTGGTTTTGCTGATGGTGTTGGTGTCGGTGTTGATTTTGCCGATGGTGTTGGTGTTGGTTTTGCCGATGGTCCCCTGCTTGGTTTCGAAACTTTCTGCTGTGTTTTCACATTCCTTTTCTGGTCATAAGCTACCCTCTTCGCTTTATCAGACAACAAACTCCAGGCCTCCGAAATAAGCTTAAATGCACCATCAGCTCCCATGGACTTGTTCTTATCAGGATGAAGCATAAGAGCTAACTTCCTATACTGTCTCCTAACTGTCTCATCATCCGCTTTTTGATCCACACCAAGTATCCCGTACCAATCCGCTTCCCCATTTATTTTGTTCTCAGCAGAAATATATACATCAAGGGTGGACAACATTTGGGGAATGCCATCAAGCCCCGGAAACAGAGTTTGAGCCTTCAACGCAAACTTTTTCGCTCCCATAATGTCCTTCGCCGTGAGCTTCTTTTCCGCAATCTCTTTCGCCCTGGTGGCCTCGTCTTTATTGCAGTCCATTTCCCCAGCCGAATCTCCTTGTCTGGTTTTATTATCAGCAACAAGGCCACTGGTTGGTCTCACAAATCACAGCAACCCCACAATGTGACTCCACAAATTCTGGTTTTCTCATACCTCAAAAGAAAATACCAAATCCTATTTTCACAAACGCAGTTTTATGTAAGAAAGACTGCCATGGCAGGTTGAATAAACACAGATAGATTCAGAACCAAATTGGCATAAATAACCCAAATAGAAAAATCGCACACAAAAAAATAGAAAACAAAATAAAATGCAAACGAAAATACATTTCTTTGCATTATTAACTTCTCCCTGAAGTCCGAACGTAAAACTTAAAACAAAGTCGAAAGTTCGAACCTTTTGAGACCACAATTTCAACCATGCAATTAAACGAATATATAGTTCTTTTCCACATTAAAGAGAATTCTTGTTCCAAATTAAAAATGCAAACGAAAATATAGCTCTTAGCATCATTTCTTTTTTCTGATTAGCGGTGAACAAACAAACGAAACCAAAAGAAATTGAGAGCGAAACCCAAATTACAACGACAATTCCGTCCGCGGATCTACGTTAATAAGCTCAAACGCAACTCGAAAAAGCGGAATTTGGGAATTAAAAGAATTGGGCGGCGAAACCCTAGAATCGGCGATGAACTGGTCATTAAAAAGAGAACAGATATGGAGTGAAAGGAAGAAGTGAAAATGGATTTGGATTACCGTGGTACGAACAGTGTGTTGTTGTTGGCTGAGAAATTTGAATCACAGAGAGCCACCATGGACAGACCTCCATCACCAATTTTTTTCTCTTTTTGGCCCCTCCTTTCTCACCCAAATCCAAAAAATCCCCAAAACTGGACCTTTTGTCAAAACTTCTCACAACCTGGGAAAAAAACAGGGCTTTCCAAATTCCCAATTAACAAAATGATACAAAGGCGATTTTTTAAAAATAAACAAGCACAGTAAGGGCTTGGCTTCTTGTTTGTTTATAAAGTATTTTTCTTAACCTACTCAACACCCTCTTTAATTCCAAAAAAAAAAAAAAAAAAAAAAAAACAACAACTCTCCTTGGTTGAAATCTCTCACCATGGGTGAATTTTTAACTCTGGGTTTGCATATTCTTTTATTTTTATTTTTTTTATTGTTTAGGATGGCTTAAATTATTTTTATGGGAAAGTTACGATTCGTGTAATAATATTTTGTGGATCTGTTAAATTAAATCAATATTATATATAAAATTAACTGAACTTGATAAATATCTAGCCGTTAATAATCGAGCCATATGAAAAGAATTTCTTTTACCCTATCAAATAATTTTTCCGGTATGTAAATAACTCTAGACAATCACTTGCCTTTGTGTGTGTGTGTTTTTTTTATTTTTATTTTTATTTTTTATTTTTTTTATTTTAACGTTAATCAATATGATGAATCTAAATTCTGAAACAATATCATGTTAGAAATAGAAACCTTCAGCACCACACACAACCCATTGTTCATTTTACCCTTTCCGAAAAGTGAAATTAGGCAACATCGGTATTTATGCAAGTCCATTGGTGTTACTTCCTCCTTTTTACCTTCTCTTAAAAGATTCTCCGTTTTTTTTTTTTTTTTTTTTTAAAGAAAATCATTAAGCGCGTTTGTAATCCGTTCTAAAATAATTTTATTTTCTCTATAAAAATAGAAATGAAAACATTTTTAATCTCAAATAGAAATTATTTCTGAAAATACATTTGATAATTTTATTCAGAGATTATTTTCAGTATAAGAAAAAACAAAAACTCCGTTTAATTTTATATTTTTCAAAACATGTAATAGTCTTTTAAATAATATATTAAATAATTAAAAAACTCCTCAATCAATACACTAATAATTAATTTAATATATACATATATGCTATACGTAGTTGTCTTAACATACGTAAATAGTAAAAAATTAGGATACTAATTACTATACACACATATTATTAGTTTATTTATATATAAGAACATAGTAATTAGCATTAACAATAAAATACTTCTCATAAATATGTCAACTACAAATCAGTTTTTTTTTCAAGTACATTACAAATAAGATTACTTAGTGAATGATTTATAAAAAAAAAAGTTTACTTAGTGAATAATCCTAGCCTATATTATTGTCGTATATATCAATCCCACATTTAAGCAGAGGATGATCCCTAAAATTAACCATTTCATTACGTTGTCGGCGAGTCTCTATTTCGGATGTTTCTGCTTGTTGTGCGTTCATATCTTGTTTTTGTCCCTGTTGCGCTTATTGTTCTCTCTTAATATCTTCTAAGAGTCAATTGACATCATATTATATAAATAAAGAATAATCTCGTACGTGCATCTTAATTAAATTATGGATCACACAACAAGCAATTGGTATTAGTGAACTAAATACCCTAAATTCGTATACTTTAAGGATTTATCCTGGACTAAATACCCCTAAGCTCAATATCAGCAAAGAACAAAAAATAACCCAGAACACAAATATGAACATCATCACATATCAACAAACAACAAAAAAACACCAAAAACACAAATATGAGCTTCTTAAAAGCACCCAACCGGTAATAATCCAACACATCATCAGAAAATCAGAAAAAAATACCAACCTAAACACTTAAATCACCAGATTAATAAGCATACCTAAATTGATTTGGGGGAGTAGGGGCGGAGCAGAGTTGGTGAAGTGCATAACCAGAGAATCAGAGATCTTCTTAAACTCTAACCAAAACCCAAATCCACCTTTTTACAATTCCACCGAGAAGCCCACCATTTAGAAAGAGTGAGACTGGAGAAGAGGAAGACCGGAGAAAAGGGAGACTGGAGGAAAGAAGGCCACCGAGTATAAGGAAAGAGGGAGGAGAAGACCAACTTTTAGAAAGAGGGCCAACGTTTACAAAGTAAGACCGGAGAAATCAGAGAGAATAGAACGAAGAAGAGGGAGACCGGAGAATTCAAAGAGAAGTGAACGGAGGAGAAGTGGAGGAAAGAAAATAGCCCAAAGACCGGAGAAAATGAAAATGGGGAAAAGGAAAATGGCTTTAGCGCATTTTCAGAAATGTCTCACTTTTTGGGATAAAGACAAAAACGTTTTCATTTTTGGTTTCTATACGGTGCTGCCCCAAACACAATCTTCACATTATTTTCATTTTTTTCTCCTTGAAAAACGTGAAAAATGTTTCAAGACGAGTTCCAAATGTGCTTATTATTTTTCACAATTATATTATTGATGCTATTCAAATTTTTTATGCCATTTTAATTGTTTTTTTCTCACAAGTGGTCCCACGTCCCTCTCTCTATATCCTTCTTTCTCATCTCTTATGAACATTTTAAGACTGAAATCACGACAATCAAACGACTGGATCGGTGGGACAATGCTACGACGGCAGCGGTGACGAAGTTCCTCAGTTTTCTGCAAGAGGGCCAACGTTTACAAAGGGAGACCGGAGAAATGAGAGAGAATAGAATGAAGAAGAGGGAGACTGGAGAAATTAGAGAGAAGTGAACGGAGGAGAAGTGGAGGAAAGAAAATAGCCTAAAGACCAAAGAATATCAAAATGTGGAGAAGGAAAATGGCTTCAGCGTATTTTTCAGAAATGTCTCGCTTTTTGGGATAAAGACAAAAACGTTTTCATTTTTTATTTTTGTATGGTGCTGCCCCAAATGCAATCTTCACATTATTTTCATTTTTTTCTCCTCGAAAAACTGGAAAAATGTTTTCAAGACAAGTTCCAAACGTGCTAATTATTTTTCACAATTATATTATTGATGCTATTCAAATTTTTATGCCATTTTAATTGTTTTTTTTCTCACAAGTGGTCTTACATCCCTCTCTCTATATCCTTCTTTCTCGTCTCTTATGAACATTTTAAGACTGAAATCACGACAATCAAACGACTGGATCGGTAGGACAATGTTACGACGGCAGTGGTGACGAAGTTCCTCAGTTCTCTGTCGCAAGTATTTAGATGCTATGGGCACATATCAACTTGTTGCGGCCTCTGAAGCGTTTGGTGCCGGTAGTGCACACCACCACCCACCAAAAAGCAAAATTTGACAATGGCGATACCCCAGTGGCGGTGCTCTGGCGAGATTCGGTCTAGTTCAGTTCTCTTTGTCTCGTAGCTCTGAGTGCATAGAGACTGAAATCACCTCGATCAAAGATTGGACAACAAAGATATCACGATCAGAAGTTTTGAGTGTTTTGAAACTTCAGCCGGCAAGTGCGGCCTCCTCTGATGGAACTGGTAGTTACAAGGCACAGTTTCATACTTAGCTTGTCGAGAACTATCTAATAAGCTAGAAGTTGTCAAAAACGGACGTCGAACGCTCGTCGGAGTTTGTTCACCGTGCATGAAGAAGAGAGAGAGATAATTCGTAAAAAAATGTTGAGAATATATATTCTGCAAACTATAAACAATAACCTACAAGAGTTTGCTAAGAAAAATAACTTATAGGATATGAAAGATAACCTGCAAGATATGAAAAATAACTTGCGAGTTATGAAAAAGTAACTTACAAATTATTAGTAACATTAGATAAATTTAAAACAATGACAAAAATAAAATAGTATTATCTCTTTGATTGTTCTTCTAAAAATTTTCTTTTTGTAAATGCCTCTTAGACGGATATTGAAACCACAAAGTGCAATCATAAAATAATTTGATTTCATGGTTCATTTTTGCTGAGAAATTTTAGGGAGAACGATGGAAATAACATATTTAATAGGTTGTTTAGTAAATTATAACTTTTTTAAATATTAGATCATAACATAATTTAATATTTTAAGTTTTAAACATTATTAAAAAACCAAAAATACCCCGAAGCCTCCTTACTATCCCTCCTCTCTCTTCAAGTCCACCATAACCGGTGCCAATAACTGACGGCTAGTTCCAGCAACTGGTAAATACTGAATTTACCATTTTCATCTGAAAATCCAACGATCGGCTCCAGCAATTGGTAAATACCGTATTTACTAGTAAATATCGTATTTACTGATAAATTTCATATTTACCATCTGTATCTAAAAATCTGACGGCCTGCTCTGACGACTGATAAATATCGTATTTACTGATAAATACAATATTTACCATATTGAAAATTAAATTCAGTGAAATTAGAGGTGTCAATTGGGCTGGGCCGTCCATGGACGGCCCGGCCCAGCTCGCTACAATAGTCAATTCAGCACGGCCCTAATATGTTATGGGCCGGCCCGGACCGGCACGCCATAAGGGCCTAGGCTGGGCCTCATGTTTGAGGCCTGCAGCCCAGGCACGCCAAGGCCCAGACACGGCCCAGGCACACGAAGGGCCAGGCCCACGACATGAAATTTAATGAGGTTTGAGGCATTTTAGGGCCAATTGGCCGACCTATGATGTCCAGTTAACCAGTCATTTTCTTGTAATTATTCATATTAATTCAATAAAATCACATGTTTTTTGGGCATATGATATATTACTTTTTTTTGTCATCAAATTTGAAATTTAAAAAAAAATCCTAACAAAAATTTTAATTATAAGTGAAACTCAAGTGCATTAAGAAAATTAGGTTAAGATTAAGTTTAGACATAACAGAATCTTCTCGAAGCACTTAGGTTTTGTAATTTACTTATCCTAAAATACTGCACTCTTTTTTCCTTCGCTAAGGTTTTTAGAAAGGCCGTGTGGGCCTGACATGGCCCTTTTGACATCTCTAAGTGAAATATTTACTGGTAAATACAATATTTATCATATTAAAACTCGAATTCAATGAAATTTGTATTGATAAATACAATATTTATCATATTCAAACTTAAATTATAGTGAAGTATTTACTAGTGAATACCGTATTTATCATATTCAAATTTGTAACTGCAATAATATTTTCATGTATATACAATATTTACTGTATTTAATCTTGTAATTAGTAAAATATTTACTAATAAATATAATGTTT